TGGGACAGTTAAAGAAGAGGCATATGCTTCTCAGTACCCTATGGCTATGATAAAACACTGGGGAGACCAGCCCTATGGAGGGGTTCTCCTTTGTCTGATCGTGGTTGGAGATTTCAGTTCATTGCCAGTTGACCCTGTGGCTTCAGGCCTACGGGAGCCCAGTGTACCACAGCAGGGATGCATGGTGGAAGCAGCTGCTTACTTTGGTGACCAGGAGGCAAAAAGAGAGTCACTGCAGGAGGACCTAGGGTGCCAAGGGCAGGTCACTGCATTTCTTCCCACTAAGTGGCACTTCTTTTTCTCTTTTGGCTAAGATTTTTTGACAAAATAAAACAAAGGAAAAAAGATATCATCTTGAAGTTGAACATGACAACCTAATAAGGCAAAGAGCCCCAGGAGCAGACACAAAAGTCAGTGACCCACTCATTCACACACGTAGGAGTCCCACAGAAACACCAAGTTGAAAGCTAGAGTATATATGTAGAGGACTTCGTTACAGGCTATGCAGTCCCCGTCTTTCTGCTCCAGGGACTGTGAGCTCATAATCACCTTGCTTGGTTGACTTAGAGAGCCTTATTCTCCTGGTTTCCTCCATCCCTCTGGCTCTTACACATTCCTACCTCCTCTTCCAGGGGGTTCCATAAGCTCTGAGAGGAGGTATTTGATACCTTCCATTTAGACTCTCTGTGTAAATGCCACTTCTTAACAGTGACTCTGCCTACCAGTAGCCTGAGAACATGCCTTTCAGTACATGGCCTTTGAAGCCATGTATCCGAACCATATAAGAATGGTAGAAATTTCCTAATTGGAAGGGATGAGGGCTTTTAACACTGTAAAAGGGAGTCTGTGCTCAACCCCAGCCCTGTTCCCCAGGATATGTGATGCTAAACACATGTTTCTATCTTGTTCTTACATAAATAGAGCCTTGTGTAGAGCAGCCTACCTTTCCTCTAGGTGAATGTTTGTCTCCTCCTGCGTAAGCCTAACTGTGCATCATGAGTCTCAGCCTTTGCAGTGAGATTCAAAGGGGACGGGGGTATGGGTATAGCCTGGCAGGAATGGCAAAAACAACAGGACACTTACACAGCTCTCCCCACCTTCCATCAGAGGTCAGTAACGTTTCTGGGAAAAGAGAGACGGTGTTTGGTAGCTCCCAACACTGGGATGATAGGAGCTGTAGAACCGACGGCTACAAGGATTTCAACATCTGTTTCTTGGAAAGGAAGGGTCACCGCAGCTCTGAAGCTGGCATTTCCCTCAAAAGAGCTCTTAAAACCCAGGAACCTTCAAGTAACTGCGTTTACATGCTTGACTGGAATCTGACAGTTTTGCCTGTAGCTTTTGGTTGTCTAGAAACCCCAGTGCAGAGCTCAGCCATTGTGGCTAGATCCACCCTGAACTCTGATGAGCCCCATTGCTCAGGGGCAAAGCAGAGCTCCAGAGATAGATGCCGAGTTCTCCATTAACTGTATAAATGCCCATTCTCCTTGTATTTGAATTTTTATAAAACAGTTAAATCCTAGTATCTATAAAAATTTAAACACAGGGGCCATAATCATTACATGAATCCACGCGAAATGACCTCTGGTGAATCCACATCACTGGGGTAAAATTGTTTCTGCCTGAGTAGATTCTTTTGGGGTGCTTGTTTTTCTGAAGCCACATCTGTCCCACAGAGATGATTGCCGATGTATAAAAATATACCACCAGTAAAAAAAAAAAATTGTCCATTTCAGCATTTCTTAAATTGATATTAATGGGAAAATAAGTACCCAGTGAGATTGAGTGAACAGACCTGTGTATGTTTTTCAGACTCTCAGACACTTGGTATTTTTGTACAGATAGACTTTGCACATTAATGCAGTGTTTCACTGTGATATACACCATTACCACTGATTAAATTTCTTGACGCTCTACTGCTCAACAGAGGTCCTCCAGAAGCTGGCATTCGGTCCCCATTCCCCTCCCCCAGCCACTAAAAGCCACTGCTTTCTGCCTCTGTGTCTTTGCCTTTTCTGGCAATGTGTATCAATGTAGTCATTCAGTTTGTGACCTTGGCTTGCGTTGCTTCCACTTGCCATGATGCTTTCCAAGTTCACTGGTGAGGTAGTATGTATTTGTGACAGCTGCATAACTCTGCTTTATATGGTTGTAGGGCCTCGCTCCATCCACTCTTTAGCCAGTGAACCCGTGTTTCTATTTCTAGGCTGTTATGAGTTCTGCTGCTGTGAACATTCATCAGCCGGCTTTGTTTAGACATCTTTGTTAAGTCTCTACCTAGAAAAGAGGATTCTGGGTCCTATGGTAATGCCATGTTTAGCATCAAGCATCTTCCAGAATGCTTCCCCTCTGTGTATCTGCTGCTTTGAGTCCAGTCAAAGTAGCCATAGAACTTTGAACAGATTAGAGTCCAGTCCTTGACGGAAAGGGTTTTATAAGTATTGACTGTATATATTTTTTGTTTTTTTAAAGAACAACTCTTTATGTAATTAATAATTGTTAATACTTGGGTTGAGGTGATAGCTTAGTCAATAAAGTGCTTGTCTTAAAAACATCCTCCAGGACCCACATCAAAACAGCCAGGTGTTGAAAGACACAGTTGCTTCCCTAGCCTACTTCATAAGCTTTAAGCCAGTGAAAGACCACAATTCAAAATACAAGGTGGATAGTACCTGAGGAATGACAGATGAAGTGGTCCTTTGACTTCAACATGCATGTGCACACATGTACATGTAGCTCTCCATTCACTTGCACTTGCTCACACATGAACACATTCCCCCCAACACACACACACAAAGAAAGAGAGAGGGAGGGAGGGAGGGAGGGAGGGAGGGAGGGAGGGAGGAAAGGAGAGCACAATTACTAACATTGACCAGCTTTTAAACATGGATGTTCTGGTGGTAAACAAAGCAATATAGAAACTATTCAAATTTTTCTTTGCAAGTACAGAAGAAAGGTTGACAGTCATGAGAAATTAGTTCATAGAAATCCAATGTCTACAAAAGACTATCAATCTTAGATTTCTTAGCTTCCTATCCATTTCTTCTTCAGACATGTGCTTATGGTGGCATTTATCATGTGCTTCTCAGAGCAACAACAAGCATTACCTGGGGGATTTTTGAGGGTATACAGGCAGTTAGAAATGTTTTCATCTTTATTGCAAATAATGACAAGTTAATTCTAGAAATAAATGAAAGACTTTGACAAACATTGCATGGACTATCCTAAAGTGTACATGGAAAAAAGAAGAAGAAGAAACAGGCTATATCAGGCTATGTGCTATTTGCAAAAACAACACTCTGTAATAGAAAGGAACAAAAGCCTGGGCTGGGCTAGATTCCACTAGGTAACAACAGTATGTATCTGGGGTAGTAAATGAGCAGGAGATGCTCACTCGTCAGTATGGTTCATTCAAATCAAGGCAGAGAGTTCTTGTGTCTCCCAACACGTGTAGGGCTATGGTGAAGTGCTTTGTAGTACTTGTCCTAACAGATATGACTTAGGTGGGCTGGGGGCCTTGACTTGCTGGGCTTTGCCTGTTGGGAGATGCAGAGGTAGACAGGAGATGAGCAGTTATCCTCAGAGCCTTCTGGTCCCTGGGCACCCTTATCCAGATGCCCTGAAGAGCTCTGACAGCTCATTTCAGTTCTAGGAATGAGATGACGTGATCGAGCACTGACTTGCAGGACAGTGGGAACCCAGTTCTCGATTCCCTTCTCACTGTCCTTTCCTGCATGTGGCTGACAGGGAGAGGACCAGCCTTCCTGCTTCATTCTCTTGATAGTGTTAAATCCTCACCATGATTCTCAGCTAGTCAGTGATAAGCCCACCGCTATGCTATCCTCGGCATCTCTGCTTGCTTTCCAAGGGCTCAGAAGGCTTAGCTCTCTCTGCTCCTGGATTCTGGGGGATTTCTTATGTGATGTCAGATGTTCAGTTTCTCTGGGAGTCTGGTCATCGGGCAATGGTGCTTAGTCATCTGCTTCTATGAGACATCACCACAAAAACGGTAGAACTGACATGCATGATCTGCCCACACTTACTGTCTGTGCAGAAAATAACAGGGCTGAGAGTAGTCGCAGAATACAGTCTTTTCCTTAGAGTTGCCCTCGGGACCTCGAGTGAATGGCCTGAAGCCTTGGGAATGGCTTCAATGTTCACTTAACAATTCTTAATTAAGCTACTAGCTTAGCTTGATTGCTGAACTTGTGTGAAAGCTGGGTACAGAGTTGTTCTTAAAGAGAGTTAAGGTTATGGGGCACCTGCTCTCTCTGGACTGGGTCAAACGTGTGGAGGGTTAGCCTTTACGTGTTAGCCCTAGGAAAACCTTTCTGAGTCACATCATCTCGCATAACAGTGGGACATTTAGCTGCCAAAGGACGGAGTAGGAAGATCTATCAGTCACCCAGCCTGTTAACAGTGATGGTTACAAATGACACCACGTGCCACATTTTTTTACAAGTGAATCCATTGCATTTGTAAACAATACACAAATGCGTTTTAGCTCAGTTCTTCATAGATGATGACGGCATTGGTGGAGGTGGTGTGGCTGATGCCAAGTTATCCCTTCTTGGCCTGCACTGTCTACATACTCATCCTGCCTGTCTGCAGCAGCGAGAGACCTCAGTGTCATTCACTAGCAGAAGCTCTGAGGGAATATGCCCTAATAAGGGAGTGGGATGAGAAACCTTTAGGACGCATGGTCCTTTTGGAGATGCAGCCCTGCTCTGCATCCCGAGAGTGCACAATGACATGACGGGCAAATGATGGCACTAAGGCCATTGATGGGGCAACCAGGTTCTAGGAAAGGAGGGAAGGCCTCTGGCTAATAAAGTAGAACAGACAGTCATCCCCAACTTCAGTTCCACATCCCTGAGAGGGACCTAGAAACGAACTGCTGGCTGCAGTGGTGTGCTTGGCTATCTTACATTCATATAGTCAGTCACGTATGGTGTAGCTGACCACTGCATCTGGAATGATCGCCTCTCATTTTGTTTCAGGGTCCCCAGGGCCATCCAGTGACCACAGCAGCAGGGCCTCATCGCCTCTCTTTGACAGTGGCCTGCACCTGAACGGACACTGCAGCCACACAGTAAGCACGTGCAATCCCCTGACCTCATAGCTTGGGAACCTCAATCCCAAGGGCCCTGGGTTGAGGGCAAACCTGTCCGTGATCCAGCAGAGACACAGGCAGATGTTCTGGAAGAAGCAATGAAAACAGGAATTAGTCAGTGCTATTAAAATTTACTCCCACATAGGCTCTTTATCCTTATACCCACGAAGACACCTTAAACCAGTAGTTCATAATTGCAAGGAAAGTAAACACCTTTCTTCATTTTGAGGTAGAAATCAAAGTAACCTCTGAGTTTTGGGCAACCTTACCAATGGGGCCTCAAGTTGTTGTGGTCTCAAGATTTCTAGAAGACTCACAGGACAGGGTAACAGTGAGAATTTATCCCCAAATTCCTAGAAAACATCAAGGAAGCATGAGCGCTGTATGTTTGCCCTGAGGCTCCATCCCGTGCCTCACTTGCCCCATCTATTCCTTAGATCCCAGAACTGATCTCAGCCCCCAGAGTCTGCTACCCTGGGTCTGCCTCCTAGTGCTGGGATCAGCCTCCTTCTGGGCAGGTGGGCTCATTACCCACAGAGAAACAGAGACTTAGCTTCCCACAGTTGGTTTTAGGGTGTATTTTATAGTAGATCCTTTTCCATCCTGGCGTTCAGGGAGAACTCAGGGGAAAAGATTCCAGTTTGTGTGATTTCACAATACCATAATTTCTCACTTTAGTGGTTTGATTGCTTTTGGTAATTTAGAATTTGGCTTCTGTAACTAACAGAGAATCAGCGGCATGCTCGCAGGTCACATCTCCTGGTCTTGGGTCCATAGACAAACAGCACCCTCATTTTCCTGGTCTTCACTTGACTTCAGAAATTAGTGTTGATTCAGGCACGACACACACCTGTCGTCTCCCATCTTAGAAAGCAGGGGCAGAGTATCTGTTGAGCTTGGAAGTATGAAGTCAGTCTGGGTAACATATTGACGTTCAGTTGAGACAAGTCAGCAGAGAAAAGCAAATGGCTCTAGGGGCTGATGTCCTGCATTACCCTAGATGCAGGAGCAATCGGTGAACTGGGATGCTCAGAGAGTCAGTTCTGTGTTTCCATCATGATGAGGCGCCATTTGTCTGTGCTCACAGTAGAGAATCCACGAGTGTCCACAGAGCACTTGCACTGTGGACTATACTTCGGGCTTGTAAGCTTTGCTCGGTGACACAGGACCTGAGATACACATCTTAGTCCTGCTTCCTGCAAGATGCACCTGAAGGTAGAGAAGACACCCAGAAAGGAACATACTCTCTCTGTATCTGGGAAGCCATGGTTGATGCGTGTTTGGACACACTGGATCACAAGAGCAGGGAAGAAGTGAGCTATGGCTGACAGTGGCATGGTTATTACATTCAACCAGACAATATAACCAGGAGGTGAACAATTATCGTTGTAAAATTTACCATAACATAGTCGCTAAAGCTGAGAGAAAAAAATGACAAGATTGACGGAATGGTGGCATGCCTCTTCCCTGAGACGAAGCGGGGAATCTCTGTTTTCAAAATAAGAAATATGTAAGATCTGCTATGAATCGTTCTTAAAGGGGGCTGCAGTGCTCCAGTCAAAATAACCCATCATCTCCGACATCAAGTAGTTACCTTAAATTACATACTGACAGCAATCTTCATTACCTGGTTATTAAAAACCGCTTCCTTTAAAAAAAAATAGTTCCTCCTAAACTGGGGAAGTCAGCGCAAACTTTGAAGTCTAGATGTGGCTCATCTCTCACTCCTATAGCTCTGCACCCTGAAGACTATTTGTTTGTAAGTCTCTTTTTGAAGTTTAAAGTTCAGAGGTCAATATTGTATTTGTGCTGAGATTCAACCTGAGAGACGACTATACTTGATCTCTATTTACAGACCTTCCTGGAAAAAAATACTTTCCTCATACAACATTGGATTTGTTTTCAAACAAATACAAAAGATGTGTGTCTTTTTTCCCCATAAATCAGACCTATTCATGAAAGTTATATAGATAATGATAGTCTAAGAAATTTTATTAGTTACTTTTCCCTGTACTGTGACAAAATACCTCAGAGACGTAGTTCCAAGGAAAGAAGATTTATTTGGCTCACAGTTTCAAGGAATTTTAGCTCATCCTGATGGGAAGGCATAGAGGGGTTTGTGGTAGCCGTGCAAGTGGTAGGGGCTCCTTACACGATTACGATCAAGAAACAGAGACTGTAGGATGTAACCTTCAAAGAGCTTGCCGGGGACCCCATCTCTAAAGACTCCAGATCCTTTATAAATAGCCCAGAGGCTAGGGACTTGACATTTGAAGTAGAAGCCTATAGGGGCATTTCATATTCAACCTACAGCATCAATTCACATTTAAAATCACTGTAATTTTTATTTAAGGCCCATATTTTAATAAGGATCATTTCCAAAATCCGTCTTGTTTGGAGGCGTAGCGCGCAGATGTCCAGATAAATCTGCTGAGCAGAAGGGACGTTCTGGCCACCCTTCCACAGCCATTCTCTGGGTTTTTGAGTGTCCTCCAGAGGTGGGGGTAGCTCCCTTCAACTCCCTGAGCTTCCTGTTTCTCATTGCTGTTGTAAACACACAGGTGCAATTATGTTTGAATTGATTCCAATTCCTCCAGCTGTTAAAATCACCTTCAATACCACTCTCCAGTTTGCTTCCTGTTCTGGCTGGTTTGCCCCAGATAATAATGGGTACTGGGATGGTGAAGAATGTGTATGTGCTGGGGGGGGGGGGGGGGGGGCAGGTTATCTGACATAGTAATTCAGAATGAAATTATATTTCTTGACTCACTATTCTCTGTCCAGAAGGGGAAAATCATAAACTTGCTTGCTGATCACAGGAATGCAGAGAGGAGCTATCAGACTTTAACTCCCCTGTATCCTCACTCCTGCATAGGAAGAGAGGAGGAGGATGGTTCCTGCCCTGTACTGGAGGTTTGTGCGTGCTGTCTTGCAGCTGAGGTTCCCGGAAGCACCAACTGCTAACTCAGCAGCCGGCTGTTATCCAGGACAGCTTAGAGTCCGCGCACTGGTATTTGGCAGAGCTGCCATGGCATGAGTGAGCAGCTTCTGTGCCAAGCAGTTTTCTGTGCCTGTCCAGGCAAAGTAACCCTTCATGGAGGCTGGTGGTAGTGACCACCTGGGAGAGGCCTGTGCTGGGAGGAGTGTGCTCAGGGCTAATGTCTCAGAACAGGAGCCCACGTGGTAAAAAAGTGGGGTTCACCTTAGGAGAACCCCGCAGAGAGGGACGTGTGAATGTCCTTACTTACACAAACAGAATTACTCAGAATGTCGTTTCTCTGTCATGAAATGTGCACTGTGGCAAGCGCTCTCTGCTGGTGGCCCCAGGAGAGCTGCTGTGGAGTAGTCTTGGGTTTATGGCAGTTCCTGCGCAGTCTAGAAACAGCAAGGAATTAAGCTTAGTTTATACACTGCATTAGAAGGAGGCATCAGTTACCTTTAATGGTATAGATGTAAAGTATATTCCCAGGTAAACAGTTCTATGTTAAAGGAAGGACCCCAGATGCTGCATCCAGTCAATCAAAGGTGATTTGATCATCACCTGATAAATGGACTAGTACGCCAGCAGAGCCATAATATGATGATATTGGGACAGGGTGGAAGCCACTAGGTGGTGCCTAGTTGAAAGTGGTAGCCATGACTTTGAAGGGTTTATCTGGTCCTGGCCCCTTCCTGTTGCATCCTCAGCTTCCAGGATGTTCTGAGGTCAGCAGCTTTCTCCCACGTTCTGGTTTGAATCTGAAATAACCCTGAATGCTCAGTTGAATACCTGGTCCCCAGATAGTACCATTATTTGGGGTAGTTATGGAACCCTTTTATACATAGCTGGCAGATGCAGGTCTCTGGGGTTCTAACCAGGTAACTGCTGGCTGCCATGGGCCTGCTGCTCCAATAGCAAGCTGTAACTGCTACATGCTTTCTCCACCATCCTGACCTGTACTCTCAAACTATGAACCAAACGATCGGCCCTCCTCTAAGCTGCCAGGTATTATTCACAGCTCTGAGGCAAGTAACTGATACTCAGCACCACAGCCTTCCATCTCAGCAGGGGAGCCAACCTTAAACCATAGCTCCGAAACAGCCAAAAGAAATGGCTCCTTCTTTTTCCTGGGTGTTTTAGCATAGCAACCAAACAGCTGACACACCTCCCCTCTCAGCTGTGGGAAGAAACCCCGAGCATTTTTTGTGCCTCCTTAGTTTTCTGCAGCAGAGCATACTAAGAATTTACTGAGGCAGCTGGAGATGGCAGCAAATCCACCATTCATAGCATGTTCCCCTTCTGCCTAGTTTACAGTTTAGACTCCTCTAAATACTTCTGAGAACATAATAGCAAAACAACCCTGTGTCTTCATTAAGACCTTGCCTTTGCAGTCACTCTGTGTTGTTTCTCTGCAGCTTTGGCCACAGACTGCATATGTAGGGACTCTGGATACCATTGGGCCCTGGAACCCCTCCTTCCTGGCTGCCCTCCCACCATAGTCAAAGAGTAGGCAGAGCCAGGTATCCAAGGAGTCAGGCATGGGAAGGGTCAGCCGTACAAAGGGCCAGCATTGATGGAGTAAGGTTTAACAGGACAGGTGTGTACAGGGTCAGGTGTGCACAAAGCCTAGCATCCACAGGGCAATGCACATACAAAGCCAGGACCGATGGGGCAAGAATCTAGACAACCGTCCCTTCCCTGGCAGTAATTGTTTTTGAAGCGTTTTCAAATATAGTAGAACAAGGTTGTCCACACTCCTCAATTTTTTTTTATCACCCACTATTCTCTCCTTGTCAGCTGCTATATCCCAGAAAATTAGAGGTTGGAATAGCTAGAGTGGGCTGTGCACACATGAAGCAAAGGCTGGATACAAACTGCTTACAATCCAGTAGGCATCTCCTTTGTTCCTTGCTGTGGGTTTCCCTGCCAGACCTCAGACACTGTCACCAGCACTCCTCCACAGAAAGAAGATATAGCAGCAGTGGCGACTTCTCACAGAAGCCTTTTAAAAATACTTTTCAGGTCCTTATAAATAAGAGTTCCCTCTGAGGAGAGAGTTGCCCCAGTCCCTGTGGGGGATGGCACGAACCGTACACACGGCTTTCACTTTCAATCAGGGCTTCCCTGGGTCATCAGTTTTTCTCTGTTCTGGTCAAATATTGCTCTTTTTATTATGTTTGTGCTGTTTTGTTCTCTAAAATCACATTACCTAGGACTCGCAGCCCCAGCAGGATTCGAGAAGATAGAAATTGCAATCTGAGACCCACAGGCAGGTTTTGTCTGCTGAGGAGCCATTATTATTTTAAATTGAACATGAAGTGTCCACACAGTTAGAGACAGACTCTTGTCCTAGGGTTAGTGATTATTTATTGATCAAAGCATTCTTTAAGGACTGAAACCATTCTATGGTTATTTACAAACAACATCAAGATATGGGAGCACCTTATAACAAGCTTCATACAAGACATGCGCACACCACACCAAAAACTGGGGACATTTTGCTTGCATACAAACTGACACTTTGCATGCTCCCTTCTTGGTAATCTCTACCTAGTAATGAATTTTAATTTTAATATTGCATCAATATCCACTATCCAGACCTTCAGCAAATCCTCAGGCACTTTTCTAGTGCTTTATAAAATTGATTTCATAGAAATAAACATTATACAAAGAGATTATGGGGCTTCCCCTATGATTGCCGAGTGTGTTTCACCAACGTCTGAGTATGGCAGGAAGTCACAGACTGTGCTCAGGTGAAGTCAGGGCAGGACATGAGTTACTGGCAAGGTCTAGACGTCCCTGGCTTATTGTGGCTTTACCAGCCAGACTTCAGGCAACATCACTTGATGTCCATCTCCAAGGTGAAATTATTTTAAACGATGTCAAGCATTGCATTTTATTCCAATGAATGGAACGTTGAGTTAGAATTTGTTGACAAAATGATGTCAATGCTATGCTAAGGTATGCTTATGCAACTCAGAAACACAGGAAGTTGGGGAGTTTTTTTCTTTTAACACATCAAGGTCTAAGATAAGCAGAGGATGCTCTCTGGAGTGGCAGCCACACCAAGGCAGCCTTCCATGGTGCGGGACTAAGCTGCAGTGTCGTGGTAACCCGGATCCTGAAAGCAGAGTCCAGGGTCACATCCATTATCAGTAAACTAAATTTCATTGAAACTGGACTGGGAGCTTGTCTTTGAGAAATTACCTATGTGATTTATATGCGCAGTGAGGTTCTCAAGTCAATAGGCTGCATTTGTCAGGCATAGACCTGGAAATCTAAATGGCCAGCCCAGGCTTCCTGCGCAGCATAATTCTCAGACAAGAAAATCCCAAATGACAGGAGCGAGCAGTTAAAAAAGCATTAAGCTGGATAAAGCAAGTCCCTTGCTTTCAAACCGCAAGAGCCAGGTGGTTGAAGACTGTCAGCCCTGACAGCGAGGCAGGGCACAGGAAAGCACCCCTCTAGGGGTCTGCTTTAGGACAATAGAGACTAAACAATGCGCTATTCTGACTTCAAAGGCAAGGGGACAGGTGCAGATTCTGACTTAGCTGGACTCTGTGACAAAGAATAAATAACCTGCCACATTTCAGGAGGAAATCAGGAGAACCAGAAGCTCTGTTATCTAGCAGAATCCTCAAACAAACACTCAGGGAAAAGGCTGCTTAGGGTCAGAGAAAAACACAGGTGCTCACTGTCAAGTTGGATGGCTTTGAGGTTCCCCTGTGCTTGGAGTGGAGGTACTCTCTGGACATTCAGAGAGGTGACACCATAAACCCTTATCTGTTTCTTTTCTTGTCACAGTTGCAGAAGGCCTTGTGTTCCCACGTCTTCTGATGTGATATTGGGGTGTTGGCATTCACCCTCTGGTAGATAAGTGTCTCTCAACTGCTAGTCAAAGCCACTGTCTAAAGATGAAAGACATGCCTTTGCCACTAAGGAGTCAGGTTCAGAGTACCATCTCATCTAGTACTCGGTGGCTGGTTCAGCCTGATGCAGTTGTACATGAGACTTGTAGGAATTTAGCCTAAAGCATCATAACCATCAACATTGTGTTTAGTCTGGTGGATTGTTGGGGTGAGACAAAGCCTGAAATATTTTAGTTAATCCATGTGTGCTCTAAAGAAAAGCACATTTCTACTAGTTACTATTCTTGTTAGCATGTCCTTCTTTTCACCAGCAAAACCTGCTTCCTATTTCCTGAATAATTATCAGAGCTTGGTATCTGATTCACAAGGCAGAACGGGAAGTCTGGCAGGGCCCCTCTGCTGTGTGACCCTTTTGGATACAATGCGAGGGGGGCAATCCAATTGTTCGTTCATATTTATTGTGTCACAGCTGCTATGTCTGGGATTTGTGAATTTGTATCTTATTCTGGCTATTGAGTTTTTTATAAAGTGTTTTATGTCACTAAGTAATCTGCAAGTTGGGATTGGCTGGGGTATACATCCACCTGCTTAGTATAGCCAGCTAGCCTCAGAGGCCATTCAGAGTCTGGTCTTCTGGAGGATGCACACACTGTTGGCATTTCTCCTCGCCAGGTTCTTGGAGATTGCTGGCTGTTAGCAGTCCCCAAGGGTGAGCTTTCAAAATGTTAGTATCATTTAAGTCGATGAGGCTCCCATGCCCAAGTCCTATCCCGCATGGGAGAACACACACACGTGTGCACAGAACAGGGGAATTAGACATTTTCTGCAAGCTTACAGTCTGCCTCGCCCTTGGCAGAGTGTTTACACTCCACACCCTCAAGGACAGATCTCTTCAGCCTCAGGTCCTGGCAACTAGACCAAAGAACCTCACCAAAATGAGACCTATATGGTGAGGCTCCTGGTCAGGTTCCAGTATGACTCTCAATGAAGATCTTCACCTGAACATAGCAGACTAACGGAGAAGTCACTTCTCTCTTACCTGACATGTGTTGTGGGCTAGGGTGATCACAATGAACACTGTCTCAAGAAGGCAGAAAGTCCCCCAGTCCATAGTGACTTTAAAATAGGCAGGCATGCACATCCAGGCCCTGGACTGGAGTGTCTCCACTCTTGAGAGTCCTGCTCTACAGCCTCAGATCTGGCCCTGAACACACTCAACTCAGCGGTTTGTCTGACTGCCTCTCTAGATCCAGGGATTTGGTTACTTTGTTGTTTATTCCCTTTGTAGCAGATGCCATGATTCTTTTGGTGTTGCACAGGCATTTTATGAGTCAACGCTTACGATTCCATTAGACAAAGTTTTATCACAGTTCCCTTCAAAGCAGTCTATTGACTAAGGATGAAAGCCCTGACGGTCAGGACCTCCAAAACCTGAACCTTAAGTGGGAAGAGCTGTAGTCACCCATTAAACGACTGTGTGCCTCTCAGGTCAAGAAGAGCTGTGACTTCACATCTCTCTGGATGTCTAACAAAGAAACGCAAGCCCCACCATGCCTGATGTTGGTCTAGAAATATGTCTCGTAGCTGGGATTCATTTAACGCTGGTAGAAGCAATTCCATTTGTGCCCATATTACTGGGGCACTGACATCCATCAGCTCAGCTCATTTTAAACTACTTTCTCCTAAGTTTCTACATTTTTTAAGTTAAGTTCTATCGTGACTGTGAGTTTCTCCTCCAAATACAGTTCTCTCTGCCCTCTTCTTTAGCTTTCTCCCCTTCTTTGCAAAAATACTATTTAAAATCTATTTTAAAAGCTTTTGTATTTAAGTACGAGTGCTGCTTTCTGTCTGAATCTCTGGGAAGTGATCTTGTAGGCTTTCTTCAGTTGAAGTGAGCTAATCCGGGTGTTGTGGGATGGGTGCCTCAGCTTTAAGCCTCTCCAGAGATCAGTGTTCTGACTGGTCCTGTTTCGACTGACTCTTGCTTATTTCACACAGGCTCCATCATCACCTTCCTCACCCATAGCTAATGAACCAAAGTATGAGAAGCGCTGGCTAGACACCCTGTCAGTCCCTTTGTCCATGGCGCGGATCTCCAGGTATAAAGCTGGAACAGAAAGACTCAGGTATGTGACCAATGTCAGAAGTGGGGAAAAACTGATGAACCTGGCACTGCAAAGAAAGGCAGTGAACTCATCACTGTGGGAACATCTGGCAAACCCCACATTCTGCCAATTCCATCCACTGCTTCAGTGTCTGATAGCACAGTTGGCAAGTGCGGGCTTTGTCTCTGCAGTGTAGCATTTGAGGAGGTATCGAAAGCCAAGAGGAAAGGAATGCAAAAGCAGTTGAAGTGGTTGATCTTCATTTTATTTTATTTTATTTTAAATAGAAGCTATTTTCCCTTCTAGCAAGAGCAATTGTCCATGCTTAGGAAATAGTCCAAGAAGAAGGAATTCTGTCTTCAGCTTTAAGTATCAACAGAATAGGTTCAATTATAAAAGATTGTATACTTTTTCTAAATTGCAAATAGATACTGAAAAGCCATTTAACCTTCGTGATCTTCATTTTCCTCATTAATAAAGTAAGAGGGTTAGGCCAGTTCGTGTGTTCAATAAATGCTACTTGTTTGGAAGTCATGTTAACTATGTAGTTTCAAGAAGTATCCGTGAAGCCTCATATACATTTCTGGGTAGGCTGAGAGTCCAGAGCTCCTTGCTTGAGTTTCGAGAGAAGCCAGATGCAGGGAATGGTGACCTGCCTACCAGTTTCAGTTAGCAAAGGCACAGCATAAACATCTTGTTGTCCACTGAACCCTGTGTTAAAATATGTCCGTGGCTGAACTGTTTGACATATGGTGTGCGTATAGTGTTGTATAAAGTTGCACTGTATGATGAGTGCTGTGAGCATGTATGTGTTCTCAGGCTTCTTTTGTATAGATACATGGTGATCTATGTATTTATGGGGAGACAATGTGATATTTCACACACAATATGTGGTAACTGAATCAGGATAATGACCTCAAGATTTGTTGTCATTGTTAGGGGTGGAGAGATGGCTTAGTGGTTAAGAACCTATACTGTTAATCCAGAGGACTGACATTTGGTCCCTAGGACCCACACTGTATTATATAACCACCTGCAACTCCAGCTTCATGGAATCCAGCAGCATCCTGGTTTCCACAGGGAACTGCACTCACAGGAGCATGTCCCTAGACTATCCACATGCATAATGTACATTTCAAATGAAAAGAAATCATTTCTTTATAGGGAAGGTGTGGGAGCAAATGGGTGTGAGTACCAGCAGCGGCAGGAAGGAAGAGGTTGGGAGTGGGCAGAGTTTGTCTCTTAAAGGGACTGGATACCCAGGTGACAGGGCAGGCCAGTATAATTATAATGTTCATAATCCATGAAAAGTCAGTGTATCTACATCTACCTTTAATTTTCTTCATCAATGCTTTATAGGTTTTAGTGATCAGACCCTAAACTTCCTTAAACTTACTCCTGTTTTATTATTTTGCAAAGGGATTATTTCTATAATTCATTTTTGTACAGTTTGTTCCCAGCGTTCAGATTTTGCATGTTAATTTTGCATCTTCTAGCTGTTGTGAGCCCACGTGTTCGTTTGAATGGCTGTGTGCATGTGTTGATGTGTGTGTGTGTGTGTGTGTGTGTGTGTGTGTAGTCTTTTGGTGTTTTCTGTAGATTAGCTCAATCCCATTTCTTCCTTTCCTGTACAGATCTGTAGGTTCCCCTTTTTCTTGCCTACTTCCTGTGTAGTATTTCCAGTGCTGTGCCAAACAGAGGTGGTGAGAATAGACATCCTCTCTTGTTCCCAGTTACAGAGGAAGTATTCACCATTTCATCAAAGAGTATGATGTGTGCTGTGGTCTTTTACACTCCTTGGTTTTGTTGAGATAGAATCCATCCTGAATTTTTTGAGAATGCTTTTTATTATGAGATGATATCAAATTTTGTCAAATGTTTCTTCTGCACCCATTGAAATGGTCATGTGACTTTTCCTTCATTCTCTTGGCATGATGTGTCATGTTTATTGTGTGTACTTAATCCTTTCATCTCATAGACTAATTCCAGTTGGCTACATGAATGATCATTTAATTGTCCTGTCGAATGTTTTTGTCAATGTGCATGTGTTCCTTATACTAGTGTTTTCTTGTAGTGTCTTTCTGGCTTTGGGGTCAGACAAAGGGTAATGATAGTCTTTTGGAATTACCTTAGATGTATTCTGTCTTCTCCGATTCTTTGGAAGAGTTTGAGAAGTGCTGGTATTCCTTTTTTGAAGGTTTTATAGAACTCAGTAATGCCACCAGGTCCCCACATTTTCTTTGATGAGAATCAAAACTCTTGATGTGGCTCACTAAAGTTTTCTCTCTCACTATGATTCAGTCTTAGTCATGTGTGTGTTTCTTGGAACTTATCTTCTAGATTATCTTAATATTCTATATTATCCAAATAATTAGTATAAATTGTTCACAATTGCCACATATGATCCTTTGGGTTACTATAGGCTATTTCCAATATCTTCTTGTTCATTTCTGATTTGCAATTTCTCTTTTTTTAATCTTTCTACATTTTTATCAATTTTATCTTTTCAAAGAATCACCATATAGTTTTATTATACTTTTGGTTGCCTTTATTTATGTCTTATCTGTTTTTATTGTTCTTGTTTGTTAGGGGAAGAAATATATGCACACAAATACTCACACATGCTTGCACACACCATGCACACACACATACCCACAAATATTATTTTCAGTTCTTCTTCTCTATGAACTGAGACAAGTCTGTCTATAGATAGCTTTGTAGAAGGGGGGGGGTGGTCCACAGTGCCCCTATAGGCTCACATGCTGACATTGTTACTGTTACTATAGTAACAATATACTATACTATAGATCATGAGGATCTTGAGTATAGTGTGTATATGTGTGTATGTATGATAAATGGAATTTATTAGGTTGGCTTACATACTGGGGACAGGGTAGTCCAGTGCCTGCCTAAACACTAGAGAGACCTAGGACCTGGTAGATGTTCAGTCTGTGATGCTAGAGGCCTCAGAAGTCCCAGCCAGCATCAAAAGCCTGGGAGTTCCCTGAAAAGTCACCTGTGTCTAGCTTACCTGGAGAGAATGGAGAAGATAGAGGTTGGTGTCAGTGGAGGTTGGCAGCAGAGTGATAGACACACCCTGTACAGGAGGAAGTAGAGGTGGGCATTCCTGCTCTTGTCTCGAGTCTCTTCTTCAATCACAGCCACGTGCTGTTACATGCCATCAACCATGGAGCAAAACTGATAAGCTTTTCAGTTCGTGTTCATACATTTCTGTGCATTGTTTAGCATTTTGTTCCTAACAGATTGGCGAATCCTTTGAGCCTGCCATAATCACCATGGTGATAACTCCTTCAGCCTTTAGTCCAAAGGACAGCCTTGTCAGGCATTGTATTCCCACTTTGTTGTTTTTTCCTCTAATACTGTAAATGCAGCATTCCAGCTCCACCTGAAGGGTGTGGTTCCTCCTGAGATTTTGGCCAAGAATCCGAAGGCTGTTCCCTTATAGATGATACTTTGTTCTCTTTTGCTGCTTCAGAATTCTCTCTCTTGAGATATGACTGGCTCTGCTACTTTGAATTGATTACTCTGGGGATATCTCAAGCTTTTTGGATCCAGATCTCTCTAGACTCATGAGATCTCCAGACATTGTTTTCTGCCTGTTGCTTCTTCCCTCTCCATCTGGAACTTCCATCATGATCTATCAGCTCACCATGATTTATTTACTCTTTCTGATTTCTTGCCTTCCCCACTCATTGCCTTGTTAAAATGACCTGCGTTTCGACTTCACTGATTTGTCTTGCATGATTAAATCAACTGTTCAGACTGCATCTGCAGCAGAAGCCACAGTTGATGGATGTGAGCTTTCTAAGTAGCATGCATCTTTCTTTATCCTGGATAGGATGGACTGCACCAGAACTGAGTTCTCTGGGGCTAGTATGAAGGATTTTGCACTGCAAACCTGGTGCTGGGTTCATAGACTGGAGTATCTTCCTCTGGGTCTCTGAGGACACCGATGAAAGGCTGGAAAGATTCCTGGGAGGGGGGTCACACTCCTCTGATTGGTGGCTGAAAGGAATCTGAGCCCAGACCACAAGGGCACCGTGGGAGACATTTCCTTCCAGTCTTATCCAGGCCAACCTTTCTTGGTGCATAGACATAAAGAACTGGAACTGAGATCCAAGTATTTAAATCTCAGAGGAATCACTGCAGCATACTGTCAGACAAGCCTACCCTAGAGACTTCAGAAGTATCTCCCTCTAGAGCTCTGGCTGGAAATGGCATAGCTCCTCCATGACTAGAGTTAGGAGGGGTGCTTAACTGGGCTCCAGACCCGTCAAGGTCTACTGGACACTAAAACCACCCGGCCTGGCCCAGTTTCAGAAGTAGGTAGGTGTCTCATGTGGATTGCTTTGTTTCCTGGACCAGAGCCCCAAAGCCTTCAGGAACACTCAGGAGCCATTCAGCATCAGCTATGAGCAGGTCCTGGTACAGTTAGCCATGTCTCCCCCTAGGTCCATATGTTTGTAGGACAGGGCTGGCCCCACAGCCAAGGGACCACACTGAGTCATGGGGAAACTCTCATATGATCAAACCTTCTTCTATGGCCCTGGCATGAGACTCCTCCCTTGCTGGAATGGTTTTCAAAACAGGTTCTGTGCCAGGTATGGCTGTGATTAAGTCCTTTGGGGGTTAATACTGTTTTAAAACTATACCACACAAGACAGAGAGTAGTTGTTGACTGAGAATCTGAGGGCAGAATATGTGGAGATGAGACTAATACATGCCAACTACCAGCATGTTCTCAGAGGGTCTCAGCAGAGGGCACAGTAGGCTCAACTCTGTAAATGCAGGAAGATGCTTGTGACCCTACAGCTATGTCACATTGCAGATGGCTCAGCCCCATACTGCAGCTTTGAGTCCTGGGCTGGCTACCAAGATGCCTCTCGCAAGCACAGCTTGACCACTGATCACCGCTATGAAGAAGGCTAGCTATTCATGGAGGGAAGCTAACATTTTGCTTAGCTCTACCACACTGGTTTTCTATTGTGGAACAAATCAGT